ATACATTTTTCTTAAAAAAATAAAAATAAATGCATTTAAATAGAAGAGACTGAATACAATTAAATAATAGTTTTAAGTGGAACGCATATGACAAAAGCCATGATATAACCCAAATATTGCAAGGATTTCTAAATTTGAAATGAAAATAAATGGAATCAGTAACAACCTGATCTAACCAAACTTTCCCTCTCTGTAGGTATCTTTTGAAAGGTAAGTTTACTTGTCAATTATTTATCAATTCAGCCATTCACTCAGCTACTCATACAGGCACTCTGAATCTATTTTGCAGCATCTGCTATGTGCCATACTCTGCTAGTGAACAGAGCATGGAGTCATAAAGACTAGAATGTAAATACCCTCAGTGCCTTTTCAACATTATACATTCTTTCAGCAAACGCTAACAGGATGGCTACACCATGCAAGGTGCTGGGGTCTGAACTGATGAGGGTGAGAACAGGCACAGCTCTCCTGCCCTCCTGGACACTACTGCTTCCCACAAGAGTGAGCCATGATTCAAGTGACTGCAACATCAAACAGATAAGGGCTATAAAAGAGAGGACACATCTTCTGAGTGCCTGTCCTCAGATTTCCAAGCTAGTTGTAAGAAAGTCTGGAATCTGAAAGGGCCCTGGGGATGAGAGCTGGAGGTGAGCAGGAGTCCATTAGAACAAGGGGCAGGGGGCACAGCATTCCAGGAAAACATGTTTGGAAGAGAAGCGCCCAGCAGGAAGGGCTGGAAGGAAGGCTAGCGTGACCAGAGACAGAGAGCAGGCATGAATGGCTGTGTTAATTCATTCATCCTTGAGTTCACTTATTCAGCAAATGTCTGCACAGGGACTAGGGGCAGTCCTCTGCACGCTCTTTGAAGTTTGGTGATCTTGCATCCATCGGTGAAAGGTTCTTCGGCAATGATCTCCCATACAGGCCTGTTTGTTTGTTTATAAATGATATATGCACTAGCTATTCTTATAAACTAGAAAATGTAAAAAGGCACGTTTTAAAAATGGAGACGATGTTTAGATAGAATTTTTCATTGTTCTTGCTGTCTCCCCAGTGAGCATCCTGATTCAGGGACTACTTCTTAAAGTCATACAACAGAACCAGGAGACAGGACTCCTTGCCTTAGTCCAGGGCACTGTCCACTAGAACAGCGGTGCCTAAACTTGAGCATTCATGAGAATCACGTGGAGGTTCCTTAAAACACAGAGAGCAGGGCCCCACCCTCCGAGCTCCTGATTTCATAGGTCTGAGGAGAGGCCTGAAAATGTGCATTTCTAGCAAGTTCCCAAGTAATACCAATGCTGTTTGTCATTAGTCCACTAGACTATTTTTCGAAATCTGGACTCAGACCCTTGCCCAGACCTGTGTAGGGGTGTGTTACAAGTGCCGATTGCTCAGGAACATCCTACACCTGAAGATCTAGACTTTCTGGGGTTAAGGGCACGAGAATCTGCCTTTTAAATAATTTACCCCCAAACATTGGGATAGATGCAAATATCTGAGAACCACGGCTCTAGAAAGAAAAAGTGTCCCATGTCGTGAGGCCTAGATGGGGGCCCTGGGCTTGGGAGGAAGGAGTTGACCAGTGGGGCATGCACCCAGTGCACTTACCTTGCAGACGGTAGAGCTGGCCCGTGCTGTGCTGCCGCGTGATGTGCTGCCAGTAGGCGCTGCGCGGTAGCGGCACCATAGTGCTCAGCGAGGCAGCCCGCTCACTCATCTTCATCTGGAGCTGCAGTCAGAGGGAAGAAAGTGGTATGTCAGCAACGCTGGGGCTGAAAGAGCCTGGACCTACAGAACAGGAGAGCAGGGAGCCCCAGAACCCTGCAGCCAGACTACCTTCAGCTCACTGGGCAGCAGCCATCCTCCACCCTGCTGTCAACAGTGCATTGACTCTCCTTTGGGGAACTTTTCTCAATTCAGCTCAATCCCTCTAGTCCTGGTGGGGCTGACCTCAGTAATGGGCTGGTTGGGCCAGTGACCCCTGCCAGGCTAATAAGACACAATCCCCGGAGATATTCACTAGAACTTTTGTGGAAGAGAGAATCGGTAGAGGTAAGCTGAGGATTTGAGGCTGTTCATTGCTCTATCCCTAGGGTCTAATATATTTCCTTACACATAGTAAGTGTGCAAAAAGTACTTGCTGAATTGAATGAATGAGTGTTCTTGGGGGGCTGCTAAGAGAATAAGACACAGGACTGGAGCTTATCCTAGAACAATGAAGGGAGAATGTGACAGCCCATGGACACCGTCAGCAGAAGACAGCCAAGAAAAGGACAGGGAAATCCTGTTGGGCTCCACAGAGACCTTCATCCCACTGGAACCCAGACGTTAGTCCCAGACTTTTCAATTATATGAGTCAATTATTTCTTTTCAGTTTAAGCTGGTTTGAGTCGGGTTTTCTATCACCAGCAGGGAAAAAAAAAAAATTCCTTCTGCTTAAATGAGTGCTTTTTCTTTTCTGATAGTGAGGAAAGAAATCAATTATTTCTTTTCAGTTTAAGCTGGTTTGAGTCGGGTTTTCTATCACCAGCAGGGAAAAAAAAAAAATTCCTTCTGCTTAAATGAGTGCTTTTTCTTTTCTGATAGTGAGGAAAGAAAAGGGAAGATGTGGCTCATGATCTCAGGCAGCTGAGAGTATCTCTAAGACACAGTGCAAGTCCCCAGATCATCAGAGAGTGGCAATGGCCTACCCGGCTGCATCAGGGGAATTGACCATACGAGGGAGGTTTCAGAGAGAAAATGAGGGGTAGAATAAAAGGAAAGGTAAATGGCACAGCACCTGCAAGAAAAACCAAAGCATGCACAACCTGAAGCAGCCCTCCAGCCGTGCTCTCATCTGAGCCCTGGTCTTAGGCACAGTCAGGATACAGTTTTATTTCGCCATTGCACAAAATGTGACTACAGACGGTCCCCAATTTATAATGGCTCAATTAGGATTTTCTGACTTTATGACAGTGCAAAAGCAGTACACATTTAGTAGAAATCATACTTCGAGTACCCACACAACCATTCTGTTCTTCACTTTCAGTACAATATCCAATAAATTACATGAGCTATGTACTTTAAAACAGGCTTTGTGTTAGATGATTTTGCCCAACTGTAGGCTAATGTGAGTGTTCTGAGCACATTTAACGTGGGGTAGGCTAAGCTATGATATTCAGTAGGTTAGGTGTATTAAATGCATTTTTGACTTACCATATTTCCAATTTATGATGGGGCTTATCAGGATATAACCCCATCGTAAGTCAAAGAGTCTCTGTATTTGCAAAGTTTGATTTCCCAGATACTTGATTATCAAATAATCCACCCCAGTCTTTAAAAAACGCACTCACAAATACACATATTTATAAAAGATATTTATTAGGATATAATTTGCAATTAGTAAAAACTGGAGACAATTTAAGAATCCCTCAATCAAGTCCTGGTTAGTTGCACATAGGCACAAGAGAATACCTGGCAACAGTTAACCTGTAGATAGGAGATTTACAGAAACTGAAAAAGAACATTTATATTTTGTACCTGAAGGAGACACAGTGAGTTGCAGACCACTATACCTAGTGTAATGCCATTCTAGTTTCTCATATGAAGAACAGTGGCATTAAACACCTACCCATTTGGGTTGTATGAGAGTTTGGTAAGATGATACCTGCTTAGCCTTGCCTCGCACAAAATAGGTACACGAAAAACATGGAGATGATGGTGATGATTACTATAAATTGCAATGCCCACTTAAAGATTTTTTTTTTAAAGAAAAGTCCACATCTCATCAGCATGGTGGTAGTTTCAGTCATAATATTTGAATACACACTGAATAAAGCCAAAATCATAGGAGGCTTCACACCCAAGAGACCAAAACTCATTGTAGTTGATGAGACTCAACTTGAAAGTAAGATTATAACCATTCACTCAAAAGATTATTTAATTAATATGTGTTGCATTTGCATTTGCTGGATTGAATTCCCTTTCCCTATTATAATAGCACAATTTCTGAAATCTATCCCCAAGTGAAATTATAAAGCACTAGGTTTCAAGGGAACAATTTTTCCTAAATCTACCCTCAGATCAAAAGGTCAAAAAGCTACGTACTAAGCTAGTAGAAAAGTTCTGTGGCTATTTTTAAAATTTATTTTTAATTGACAAATAGTAATTGTATATATTTATAAAATACAATGCAATATTTTAATCTATATATACATTATAGAAAGATTCAATCAGGCTAACATACCTATCACCTCACCAGCTTATCATTGTGACTATTTCTGTATACATAAAAGTCTCAAAAAAAAAAAAAAAAAAAAATAAATTTATTTTTAATTGACAAATAGTAATTGTATATATTTATAAAATACAATGCAATATTTTAATTTATATATACATTATAGAAAGATTCAATCAGGCTAACATACCTATCACCTCACCAGCTTATCATTGTGACTATTTCTGTATACATAAAAGTCTTAAAAAAAAAAAAAAAACCTATTTCCCAGGACTTCCAGTGACATTCAACCTCATTTATATGGAATGCAAGAAATAAAAGACTGGAAAACAACTGAATTTAGAGGTACTGGTTATTTGATTTTCTCAATATGAAGAGAGTATATTTAATATAATTAAAATTTTAATATAAAGAAAACATTTGGGAAACAACTGTCACTTCAAATTATCACTACTTTACTGCAGGTATATTTAGGCAGCGCGTCATGATTTGACTGTATTTTTAGAAAGCGTATTTAGGAACAAGAATAAAATAACACCAGTGCCATGTTTTGCAGAGAATAGTACAAATACTGGCTCTCTCTTTCTTCCTCAACCCTTTGAAAGAATATCTAATCTTTCAAAAGGAGCATTTTCATTGTCTTTGGACAAAAATGATGAGAAAAGCCTTCTTGTTTAACAATGTAAAAATGTCTGAATAATTCTCTGAGGGTGAGAAGACTTGGGAATTCATTTGGTGACAAGTCATTCTTCTGTATTGCTGGAAGTCACTCTTACCCTTGACGTCAACAGCTAGTGAAGGGACAGCCTACAGTGCTCACATACGCCTCTCGTGGGAATGTGCATTAGCACCCACTTTTGGAGTAGTTAAAATTGGGTAACCAGAAACATCTGGACAGAAGAATTATAGTCCTTCTCCAATTTACAGCACCTTATACACTTCTATATAGCTTGATTTTTAAAAATAAACATAATACTTTCACATTAAGAATTCTGTAGAAATAAAAATTGCCCCAAACTACGGAATTGTAAAGTATGGGGATTTCTACTATAACATGACACAGACATTCTTGAAAAACCACCCATTCACACATTTGTGGGAAAGGTCAGGTAATGGGATGACCACTCAAAACATACACCCTTTACCACCAGAGTCATTGTTACTTCTGGGATAGCCCAGCAACTCTGGAGATTGACTAAGGGTTACAAAAAATTCAGAAAAGCGCATGGGTAGAAATGCCGGCTGGAGGAAGTCCAGGTGGTAGAGATGAAGGAAGGGTTTTTCCAAAAAGGAGGGCCCTGGTGAATGAATGCGCAGCCACATCAGCAAAAAATGAGGACTGGGCAAGCCTGGGCACACCCTCTGGCAAGAGAGCCCTTGGCACTTGTGCTCATCTCTTACCTGGAAGAGGCCCTGCTTGTGCAGTAGTTTATTAAGGACTCTTTCTGCTCCAGCACAAAATTATAATTCTATCCCTGCTTCCCTTGACTAGAAAAAATTGTTTATGAACCAATATAGTCTCAGTGTTATAATGAATCTTTCTCCAATATATCACATGCATCTGAGCTCAGTGGGAATAAAGAAATGGTGTTATAGTGGGACAAACTGTATACCATACCTGACCCACAATCCTAACCCCACACATTCTGCTAAATACATGTCTATAAAGAAGATGAACAACAGCATTGCAAATCATCCATTTTGTTTCCTGTGTCAGGAAATTTTAATAGAATCATGAAACATTGAGTTGGAAGAATTATGAAAGCATCTAGCCCAGTCTCTTGGGTTACCCAGCTGAGAAACTAAGCATCCTTGTCTAACAGTCCACACAATGGGGTACTCTGATCTTGCTTCCTCTCCAGTCAGAAGCCTCACCAGGGCCTAAACCACACCGCTCAGTCCAGCCATTACCAGTCACCCATGGAATGCCATTGCACTCTTGTTCCCAAACCCGAGAGCGCTCCCCACGTCTAACCCGGTTAACCATCCCTTCAAGAGTGTGCTTAGGAATCACCTCCTCTAAATAGTGCCCTTACAACTCTTTTTCTCCCTTAACAGGATCAGGTGCTCCTACCAGATATCTCACAGCCCTGTTCCTACTCCAATCATTTCATTGTTTTGTGACAGCTCCTAAACTAGCTTACCATAGACATAAACTACTGAAAAGCGAGATTATATCTTTTACCTCTGCATCCCCAGCACATAGCTAGGGCCTCCAGAGACTCAATAAATGTGTGATGGATGAATGAATGAATGAACCCAGCCTTTGCCCAAGTAGCAAGGAGTAGTTTACAAAAAGAAATACTAATCAACCCTGCAAATTCGAAGCACTATTAGCTCAAAACTGAATTCATGCTGAAACTTTAGGTCCATGTTAAATTAGCATGGCAGTCACAGGCTGTGGGAGCCATGGTAATAAGACTCTCCTCCACTCTGCTTTGTCATGCAGGTGATGAGAAGAAACAGGGCCTGGGAAAGATGTACTTATGTGTGTATGCACAATAGTTTAGGGC